AAAAAAAAAATAAACAAAGAGTTGAAAAAGTCAATGAAAGTTTATTTTCTGAACTTTTCTATATATTTAATATTTCATTTAAAAATTTATTGCAGGGCCAGATGCATTGGCTCACGCCTGTAATCCCAGCACTTTGGGAGACTGAGGCGGGCGGATTACCCGAGGCCAGGATTTTGAGACCAGCCTGACCAATTCATATACTCACTGTCAATTCCGTGCAACAAACATATACTAGACACTTACTCTGTATGAAACATAATCCCAGGGACTCTGAAGGATATGGAGAAAAAGAAGAGCAGATTCTTGCCTCCACAGAACTTATAATTTAATCAGGAAGATACACTATACAAAATAACTATAGTACAAGTAGATGTGATGGGTAATATAAGAAGTACTAACAAAAGAGCCATGGGAGCTCAAGGAATATAGACTACTTCCTTTGGTGAAAAACAGAAAGAGAAGGTATTAGCAAAGACGAAACTGGTAGAAATGGCCAGGTTAGTGGCACGTGCCTGTAGTCCCAGCTACTCAGGAGGCTGAGGAGAATTCCTTGAGCCCAAGAGTTTGAAGCTGCAGTGAGCTATGATGATGCCATTGCACTCCAGCCTGGGCAACAGAGTGAGAGTCTGTCTCTCTCTTTTTTTTTTTTTTTAAAAAGGTGGGCATAGTGGCTCGTGCCTGTAATTTCAGCACTTTGGGAGGCTGAGGCAGGTGGATTGCTTGAGGCCAGGAGTTTGAGACCAGCCTGGGCAACATGGTGAAACCCCGTTTCAACTGAAAATACAAAAAGTAACCAAGTGTGGTGGTGGGCGCCTGTAATCCCAGCTACTCGGGAGGTTGAGGCAAGAGAATCACTTGAACCTGGGAGGCAAAGGTTGCAGAGAGCCAAGCCAAGATTGCACCACTGTGCTCCAGCCTGGGTGACACAGCGAGACTCTGCCTCAGAAAAAAAAAAAAAAAAAAAAAGGAAAACAAACAATACAATCATAATCTTTACTGGCCAGAAACTAAGAACATAAAATATTGAAAAGTTAAGACACATATGTCTATACCATTTTGCATTTCAAATCATGATATTCTAGGTTTGCATTTTTGTGTTCATAGAAGCAGAGAAGTGATTCGATTTCTGAAACCGAGATCTCACAAGGCAAAAAGTAAAGATCCTGTCAGCATTTGTTCATTCACAAAAACTGATGCCCAAAAAGTGAAAACAGAAAGACTTTAGGGACCCCTACTGGCTTAGTCAATCTGACAATCTTTTAACGAAAGTACTGTTAAGGACTCAGAACTCTTTCTTATTTCCAATTAAGCAACCACTTCAACAAATATTCATTTATTTGAGTATTCCAATAAATTTACCTAACGCTAACAGTAATCGATAACGTGAAAATACAATTTTATAAATAAATATTTGCAGCGGGGCATGGTGGCTCACACCTGTTATCTCAGCACTTTAGGAGGCTGAGGTAGGCAGATCACAAGGTCAGGAGATCAAGACCATCCTGGCCAACATGGTGAAACCCTGTCTCTACCAAAAATACAAAAATAAGCTGGGCGTGGTGGCAGGTACCTGTAGTCCTAGCTAATGGGGAGGCTGAGGCAGGAGAATTGCTTGAACCTGGGAGGCGGAAGTTGCAGTGAGCCGAGATTGCACCACTGTACTCCAGCCTGGCAATAGAGCAAGACTCTGTCTCAAAAAAAAAAAAAAATCTGCTCTATACTATATAAAACTGCAAGGATAAAGGCAATAAAACTGTGTAACTATATAAATACTGAAGGAATAGGTTCATAAAACAAAATGTAACCATGGCGAAGTATGGATGTTAAAGAACTATATGAAGCTAGAAAAATAAATAGGCCAGGCACAATAGCTCACACCTGTAATCCCAGCACTTTGGGAGGCTGAGGTAGGTGAATCACCTGAGCTCAGGAGTTCGAGACTACCCCAGCATGGTGGCATGCGCCTGTAGTCCCAGCTACTTGGGAGACTGAGGTGGAAGAATCGCTTGAGCTTAGGAGGTGAAGGCTGCAGTGAGCTGAGATGGCACCACTGCACTCCAGCCTGTGTGACAGAGCAAGAACCTGTCTCCAAAAAAAAAAAAAAGAAACAGGTAACAGTCACCCCTGGAAAGGAGGAGATGAGAGAAGAATGAGAGATGGAAGGAAGAAGTCTTTCACTACATTACCTTTTGTACTAGTCCCACTAATGCCTCCCTAGGTCAATTAAGCAGTACTTACCAGAATTTTATCAGCTTTGGCTTCACTAATTCCCTTAATATTTATTAGCTCCTTCTTTGGTGCATAGGCAACAGCCTCCACAGTATGGAATCCAGCTTCTTCCAATTTCTTCACATCGTTGGCATTTATGCCACACTGCTGCAAATGAAGAAAACCATGGATAAATTTAAGCTTTAGTTATTTAATCTAACACAGATGATATGTGTCCTACATACGCCACAGAGGTGCTTGAAGACTTGTAATACAACTGTCCCTTGAAATCCTGGGGTGGGGAGATGGGAAGTTGGTTCCAGGATCCCCAGCAGATAACAAAATCCAAGAATGCTCAAGTCCCTTATATAAAATGGCATATTACCTGCATATAACCTCTGTACATCCTCCTGTATACTTTTTTTTTTATATGTAGTTGATTGAATTTTTGATATGTAGTTTGTCGAATTTGCTGATGCAGAATCCAGGGATATAGAGAGCCTACTGGATTATATGCAAAAGCTGAAAAATGAGCCCTATATATGAGGTACTTAATAACAAATTAACAACCTTTTCATTATCAAAATCAATAATTTTAAACTAGCACTATGCCATGTATATTAAAAAGAACTCTTATAAGCAAATGGAATTAAAAAGTAACTCCCAACTTTTTTTTTGTGACCCTAAATGATCTCCGAGACTTTGGGCCCTACAAGATCAGTTTAAGACCGTGTTGCTCAGCACTTTCCACATCAAGCACATAAAAAATGATATTTTTACACTATGGTAGGGTAAACAGATAAGGCTGCTCAGAATGAAAAGAGCGCTATCTTGGCCTATCAATACCTTTTTGTTGAACAATGACCAGAAAGCTCTACTCTAGCAACTGACATTAACAGTGAGGAAAACTACTTTTTGTCAGGGATTTTTATATCTCTTCTTAAACCACCCAAATCCACCTCTTTCTTCCTATATTCAAGTCAGCTTTGGTTTCATTAGCCACCAAAACCATGACTTCTGGGAAAACATGAGTTAGTAGGTGAATGTGAGTGTATTCAGGGGTTGGGAGAATTTAGAAGAGGGGAGAGATTAGTTTGCCAACATAAGCCATGTCTGCTATTAATATTTAAGCAATAAGCAATATGCATGTATGAGTATAAGGATGCTCATGGCACCAGAAGTTATGATTCTGAACTTTAAAATGTTTATCACAAATCCATTTAAGTAACTTCTAGAGTCTTTTTTAAATAAGCTTTTTGCACTCCTAGAGTCTTGAAGATTAGTCGGAGATGGGAAATTTGAAAAAAGAGACAGAAGAATCAAGTCTTTCTCTGCTTTCCCCCTACTTATCTCAGCCCCAATCAGCTGCACTCACATGGCAGTCTCTATACAATGGGCAGAAATAGTGTAAGGCCTCAGCTCTGGTGCTTAATGTTCTTGTGCAGAATCCTGAATTGGAGCTTATCTCTTATACCATACCACAGCCTTCTCTCTGCCAGTGACAGCTGACAGCACAAAGCTAGGTCAATAAAGAGAAGGTGCTACCCTGTCTTCCTTGCATAACTGGTCCAGGCCACTATAATTCCCAGAACGGCACTTTCATACTTAGTGCAAACAGCACAGGATGCTTTGGCTGGGCGTGGTGGCTCATGACTGTAATCCTAGCAGTTTGGGATGCTGAGGCAGGTGGATTGCTTGAGGCCAGGAGTTCAAGACCAACCTGGTCAACACAGTAAGACCCATTTCTTAAAAATAAAACAAAAAACAGCACAGGCCGGGCATGGTGGCTCATGCCTGTAATCCCAGCACTTTGGGAGTCCGAGGCGGGCGGATCACCTGAGGTCGGGAGTTCGAGACTAGCCTGACCAACATAGAGAAACCCTGTCTCTACTAAAAAATACAAAAAAACTAGCCAGGTAAGGTGGCGGGCGCCTGTAGTCCCAGCTACTTGGGAGGCTGAGGCAGGAGAATGGCGTAAACCCGGGAGGCGGAGCTTGCAGTGAGCGGAGATCCAGCCATTGCACTCCAGCCTGGGCGACAGAGCGAGACTCCATCTCCAAAAAAAAAAAAAAAAAAAAAAAACATATACATATATAAAATTAGCTGGGCGTGGTAGCGCATGCCTGTAATTCCAGCTACTTGGGAGGCTGAGGCAGGAGAATCGCTTGAACCTGAGAGGCAGAGGTTGTAGTGAGCCGAGATTGCGCCTCTGTACTCCAGCTTAGGCAACGAGAGCAAAACCCCATCTCAAAACAAACAAACAAAAAAAAGCACAGCACAGACATTCCACCATGGGATCCTAGGCCTCAGTTTCTGACAGTCCAGCTCTCAGAAATAAAAATGATAAAGTAGGAAGAGAATGGTTGACAAAGGAAGACGCCCTGCCAGACATATTTAGCAACAATCTGCAGCCTTTCCACAGGATTATTGACAACACTTCTGAAAAGTCTTGGGTCTTGACCTTGGTAGTAAACCTACAGTTTATGTAAAGGTTATAATACCTTCCACTAGGTAGAAGAATCTAGTATATAATTTCAAAATTAGCAACTAAGCACATACCTCTAACCGTGAAATGGGTTGTGGGCCAAAGCTTTCTTCTTCCACTGAAGTATCTGCATTTGCTTCAAGCTGCATCTGCATTGCCATTACTGAAAAATACAAATGCCTATCAGTATAAACACTAGAGAAATAAGGTGCATCTCTCTCCCTATCTTCTATCTAGCTAGTTGTATCAAAAAGACTTTAGGAAGAGCCAAGGCCATTCTCTTATTGTGTCTCTCTGTTCTCCTGCTTTATATTCCTTCAGAGTAGGGGCCAAGTTTTACTTATTTTTATATACCCCATTATACATTATGAATGTGTTTGCAAACAAATACTGTGTGATCTCACTCATATGTAGATTCTAAAAAAGTTGATCTTGGCAGGGTGCAGAGGCTCATGCCTGTAATCCCAGCACTTTAGGAGGCCTAGGTGGGTAGATCACGAGGTCAGGAGATTGAGACCTCCCGCACAGGGTGAAAAACCCTGTCTCTACTAAAACTGACAGATATTAGCAGGGTGTGGTGGCACACGCGCTGTAATCCCAGCTACTCAGGAGGCTGCGGCAGGGGAATGGCTGTGACCTGGAAAGGCAGCAGATTGCAGTGAGCTGGATCACGCACGTACGCAGCCTCATGACAGAGGAGACTGGTCAAAAAAAAAAGTTCGGCGGGCGCGAGTGGCTTAAGCGTAACCAGCACTTTGGCTGAGGCCGGACGGGGGATATGAGGTTAGGAGGATCGGACCATCCGGTGAACAGCGGTGACACTCCGTCTGCTCTAAAAAATACAAACAAAAAAACTAGCCGGGCGAGGTGGCGGGCGCCTGTAGTCCCAGCTACTCGGGAGGCTGAGGCAGGAGAATGGCGTAAACCCAGGAGGTGGAGCTTGCAGTGAGCTGAGATCCCGCCACTGCACCCCAGCCTGGGCGACAGAGCAAGACTCCGTCTCAAAAAAAAAAAAAGTTCATCTCATACAAGGAACAAATAGAAGAGTGGTAACCAGAGACTGAGGAGAATGCAGCCGTTGCAGGGGGCAGGAAGGAGAGAGGTTGATCAACAGGCACAAAGTTTCAGTTAGATAGGAGGAATAAGTTCTAGGGTTCTATTTCATAGTAGGGTGACTACAGTAAACACTAATGTAATGAGTACTTCAAAATAGCCAGAAGAGAGTATTTTGAATGTTCTCACCACAAAGAGAAATGACAAGTGTTTGAACTGAATTGATGGATATGCTGATTACCCTGATTTGATCATTCATTATTCAATATATATGTACTGAAATATCAACTTGTTCTCATAAATATGTACAATCATCTGTCAAAAACAAAGTAAAACTTATTATTTTCACAACCTTGGGATATAAAAAGATTTCTTGAAACGATACATAACGCACTAGCCAAAAAGGAAAAGACTGAAAGCTGAACTACATTTAAATTCAGCACTTCGGCCAGGCACTGTGGCTCAGGCCTGTAATCCCAGCACTTTGGGAGGCTGAGACGGGCAGATCACCTGAGTTCAGGAGTTCCAGACCAGCCTGACCAACAAGGAGAAACCCTGTCTCTACTAAAGAAAAATACAAAATTAGCCGGGCGTGGTGGCACATGCCTGTAATCCCAGCTACTCAGGAGGCTGAGGCAGGAGAATCGCTTGAACCCGGGAGGTGGAGGTTGCGGTCAGCCAAGATCGCGCCATTGCACTCCAGCTTGGGCAACAAGAGTGACTCTCTGTCTCAAAAGGAAATATAAATAAATAAAATAAAAAATAAAAAAATAAATTCAGCACTTCTATTCATCAAAGGACACCACTAAGAGAATGACAAGTCAAACCACAGTAGAGGTGAAAACATTTAGCACAAACATAACTGAGGGCTGATAACCAGAATATAAAGAACTTCGGCCCGGCGCGGTGGCTCAAGCCTGTAATCCCAGCACTTAGGGAGGCCAAGACGGGCGGATCACGAGGTCAGGAGATCGAGACCATCCTGGCTAACACGGTGAAACCCTGTCTCTACTAAAAAATACAAAAAACTAGCTGGGCATGGTGGCGGGCGCCTGTAGTCCCAGCTACTCAGGAGGCTGAGGCAGGAGAATGGCGCGAACCCGGGAGGCGGAGCTTGCAGTGAGCTGAGATCTGGCCACTGCACTCCAGCCTGGGCGACAGAGCGAGACTCCGTCTCAAAAAAAAAAAAGAACTTCATATCAGTAAGAAAAAGTAGAAAAATAGACAAGAGATTTGAACAAGTACATCACAGAAGATATCCAAATGGGAAAAACATATGAACAAATACCCAACCTCATTAGTAATCAGGAAAATTAAAATCACATTGAGACATTACTGTGTAACCAGCAGAATATTTTTTTTTTTTGAGACGGAGTCTTGCTCTGTCGCCCAGGCTGCAGTGCAGTGGCGCCATCTCGGCTCACTGCAAGCTCCGCCTCCCGACTCATTGCATCTCGGTTCACTGCAATTCTCCTGCCTCAGCCTCCCCAGTAGCTGGGACTACAGGCGCCCGCCACCACGCCCAGCTAATTTTTTTTGTATTTTTAGTACAGACGGGGTTTCACCATGTTAGCCAGGATGGTCTCTATCTCCTGACCTTGTGATCCGCACGTCTCAGCCTCCCAAAGTGCTGGGATTACAGGCGTGAGCCACCGCGCCCGGCCAGAATAGTTAAAATATAAAAGGCTGAAAATCGTGTTGTCAAGCATGTAAAACAACGAAACACTCAACACTCCTGATGTATTTTTATATAAAATTCAAAAACGAGCAACATTAGTTAATCGCATTAGAAACCAGTATACCAGTTACCACTGTAAAAAGGGGAAAATATTAAATACTACATAAGGAAGGCTTCTGGGGACCATTCTATTAAGTGGTGATTACGTAGGTGTACATTCATTTTGTCTTGCTCTATCGCCCAGGTTGGAGTGCAGAGGCCTGATCACGGCTCACTGCAGCTTATACTTCCCAGGCTAGATCCTCCCTTCTCAGCCTCCTGAATAGCTGGGCCTACAGGTGCACGCCACCAAGCCTGGCTAATTTTTTCTTTTTGTAGAGATACTGGTCTCACTATCTTGACCAGGCTGTTCTCGAACTCTTGGGCTCAATCGTCCTCCCGCCTCCACCTCCTAAAGTGCTGGGACTACAGACTTGAGACACTACACCGGCCAGTATATTTTGTAATAATTCACGGAGTTGTATACCGTTGTGAATGTGCATTTTTCTACATGTATATTACATATCACTTTAGAAGTTTAAAAAAAAAAAAAAAAAAAAACAGGGGGCCAGGAGGGGGCGGCGAGTGGCTCACGCCGCCTAATTCCCAGCACTTTTGGTGAGGTGGAGGCGGGGTGGCGGGATTACCTGAGGTCAGAGTTCGAGTACCAGCCTGACACCAGCATGTTGAAACCCTGTCTCTATAAAAATTACAAAAATCAGCCAGTCGGTCGGTGGCAGGGAGCCTGTAATCCTCGGCTCCCGGGAGCTGCAGTAGCGACGGAAATCGGCGTTGAACCCGCGTGAGGCGGAGGCTTGAGTGAGCCGGAATCGGCCGCCACTACACTCCCAGCGCTGGGCTAAAGAGCGAGACTTCATCCCAAAAAAAAAAAAAAAAAAAGGTTTTAAGAAAACCAAGCCTCACTTCAGATCATTCTCTAGGCATCATGCGAATGGTTTTCCGCATTAGATGACGAAAATACTGTTTTGGCAATTGCAGGTTGGTACTTTCTAAGCACGGTGTAACGGAAAGACAGACCAAGAATCCGGAAGCCCTGGCTGTGATATTAAACAGCTGTGGCTACACCGCTCTGATCTCGGACTCCTCGCTCAAACTCATAAAACGGGTGTTGGCTATGAAGGCTCTAATGTTTCTCCCCTAGTTCTAAAGACTGGGGTCCACCTGTGTTTTCGCCGCAGCAACTGAGGGTCGGTCGGACGCGGACACGCCCTGCCACGTCCGGGTTTCACACTGCGCGCGGAGACCCCACCTGCCCCTGAGCATTGGACCGGCCAGGACCCAGGTGGGCGACGACGAGCCGCAGCTATAGAGGGCCCGGCCTGCGCCTCACACACTCACCTTGGCCCTCAGCGCTGCTCTTTCCAACGGGCCGCGCGCTCCGACTTCACCCCGCGGGGGTGACACGCGCCTGACCCGCGCGGACCCCAACGCCCCTGGCTTACGCCCCACTTCAAGTCTACTCGCTTGCCCCAGCCTTCTGCGCACAACCCAGACGAGTTTCAGCTCCCAGCTGCACGCCTCGGGAAGCGCCGCGCTCTCCTTAAGGCTCGGTCTCTGGTCGCTGGGCGCGCTCCGCCGGCGGCTTTCAGAATTCGCGCCAAACCCTCTCGCCCAGGGTCACGCCCGCGTCGGCGTAACGTATCTCCGCCTTCCGGATCCGCCTTCTTGCCCCTTCCGCCCTGCGCGCTAGCCCAAGACTGGAACTCGAGAGCTTGAGCCTGCGCGAGGTTACGGACTGCCCTCTTCCCTTTTTGCGTAAGGACTAATTCAGACTTTATGCCGGGCGCGGTGGCTCACGCGCGTAGTCCCAGCTAACTCGGGAGGCCGAGGCGAGAGGATCGTCTGAGCCTAGGAGTTCTAGGCCAACCACGGCAACGCCCCTACTCTTACCCTAGTCCCTCGCGGGTGGGGCGAGGGTTTTCGGGGGACGGTGGGGGAAGACATCAGAGTTGCTGTGTTCTGTTTACCAGATCGAAGACTACAACTCCCAAGAGGTAATGCGTCGGCCCGGGACTGCATCTCCCGGCATGCACCGCCGGCGGGCCTGCGAGTTCACACCGTCATCCCAGCTGGACTATTACCTGGAGCGGGACTATTACCTGGAGCCTTAGCACTCTTGTGGTTTGTTTCAGCAGTATCTGAACGTCAGCTTTTGGCGCTGGTCACTCTGAGCCTCCGACTCACATTCCTGGAACCAGGTGCTTTCCAGGCCTCATGGAGGTGGAGGAGCTGAGGAAGCTCGAGAAGATGGATAGAAGTGGAAAATGGAGCTATCGGAGGGGACAGGGAAATGGCTGGAATATTCGTCAATCTGTGGTGCTTTACTGGAGATTTGCAGGACTGCAGAGGAAGGGGGCATTGAATTTCATAACCTAAACCGTCTCGTGGTTTACCAGAAAGTTTTGACCCGTGATTCCGGTTTTAAAGGCTGAGTAGGGCCGCGAATCGCTTGAACCCGGGAGGAAGAGGTTGCAGCGAACCGAGATCTCGCCACTGTACTCCAGCGTGGGCGACAGAACGAGAGTGTCTCAAAACAACACAAGCTAGCTGAGTAGGATTTCTTGGGCGAAGTGGAAGACACTATAAGCAGATAGGGTAGTATGGGCATGGAAACAAACTACATGATTAAAGATTAGTATTATCTAGCGAGGGAGGAAAAGTGCCAGAACAAGTGCCGAAACTGGAAAGTTACATTTAGTTCAGGGTATGAAGAGGCTTAAGATCATATAAGGCCTGCACAGTGGCTCACGCCTGTGATCCCAGCACTTTGGGAAGCCAAGGCAGGGGAGGATCGCTTGAGCTCAGGAGTTGGAGGCCAGCCTGGGCAACATAGTGGGACCCCATATCTCCAAAAAGAATAAGCTGGGCATGGTGGCTTGTGCCTGTGGTCTCAGCTATCCCGGAAGCTGAGGTGGGAGGATTGCTTGAGCTCAGGACGTCAAGGCTGCAGTGAGCTATGATGGGACACTGCACTCCAACCTGGGCTACAGAGTGAGACCTTGTCCCAAAAAGCAAGCAACAACAACAAAACATGTAAGAAGAGGCCAGGCGCGGTGGCTCAAGCCTGTAATCCCAGCACTTTGGGAAGCCAAGGTGGGTGGATCACGTGGTCAGTTCAAGACCAGCCTGGCCAAGATGGCAAAACCCCATCTCTACTAAAACTACAAAAAGTAGCTGGGCGTGGTGACGCATGCAAGTAATCCCAGCTACTTGGGAGGCTGAGGCACAGAATTGCTTGAACCTGGGAGGTGGAGGTTGCAGTGAGCCGAGATCACCCCACTGCACTCCAGCCTGGGCAACAGAGCAAGACTCCGTCTCAAAAAATACATATATAAGGAGCTTTGTTCTCTAGGTACTGAATAAATCACTGAAAGTTTTTAAGAAGACAAGTTATTTGGTTAGATCTATTTCCCCTCCACTATTACTAATTTGTTATTATTATTATTAAATTATTATTTATTATTTTTAGATGGAGTCTCACTCTGTTACCCAGGCTGGAGTGCAGGGATGCGATCTCAGCTCACTGCAACCCCCACCTCCCAGATTCAAGCGAGTCTCCATGCCTCAGCCTCCCAAGTAACTGGGATTATAGGCACTCGCCACCACACCCAGCTAATTTTTTGTATTTTTAGTAGAGACAGGGTTTCACCATGTTGGCCAGGCTGGTCTCAAACTCCTGACCTCAGGTGATCCACCTGCCTTGGCCTCCCAAAGTGCTGGAATTACAGGTGTGAACCATCATGCCTAGCTTTTTTTTATTTTTGAGATAGCGTCTCGCTCTGTTCAAGTTGGCCTTGAACTCCTGGCCTCAAGTTATCCTCCCACCTTGACCTCCCAAAGTGTTGGAATTACAGGTGTGAGCCATTGCAACGGCCTTATTACTACTTTATATATGTGGAGTGCTTTAAAGTTGACAAAGTTTTTATTTAATCCTCACACTATTACCCTGTGGCATTGAAGAATAGATTTCAGGAGAGTGAAAGACAGCAAAAAGGAAGTTCTTGCAATATTTCAGGCAAGAGATGAAGATTTAAATTAGATTCCAATTCTACCTTTTTGGCACCAGGGACCTGTTTTATCAAAGACAGTTTTCTACAGGGCTTGGGGGGTGGGCCTGAGGCAGAGAATGGTTTTGGAACGAAACTGTTGTACCTCAAGATCATCAGTTAGATTCCCATAAGGAGTGTGCAATCTAGATTCCTCACAGGTGCAGTTCAAAATAGGGTTTGTGGCCAGGTGCGGTGGCTCAAGCCTGTAATCCCAGCACTTTGGGAGGCCGAGGCGGGCGGATCACGAGGTCAGGAGATGGAGACCATCCTGGCTAACCCCGTGAAACCCCGTGTCTACTAAAAAATACAAAATAGGCCGGGCGCGGTGGCTCAAGCCTGTAATCCCAGCACTTTGGGAGGCCGAGACGGGCGGATCACGAGGTCAGGAGATCGAGACCATCCTGGCTAACACGGTGAAACCCCGTATCTACTAAAAAATACAAAAAACTAGCTGGGCGAGGTGGCGGGCGCCTGTAGTCCCAGCTACTCGGGAGGCTGAGGCAGGCGAATGGCGTAAACCCGCAAGGCGGAGCTTGCAGTGAGCTGAGATCCGGCCACTGCACTCCAGCCTGGGCGACAGAGCGAGACTCTGTCTCAAAAAAAAAAAAAAAAAATAGGGTTTGAGTTCCTGTGAGAATCTAATGCTCTCCCTGATCTGATAGGAGGCAGAGCTCAGGCAGTAATGCTTGCCTGCCAGCTGCTCACCTCCTGCTGTTCAGCCCAGTTCCTAACAGGCCACAGGTCTACGATGGGGCATTGGGGTCCTCTGAATTAGAGGAATGACAGAGAGAACAGACTCAGGCAGCTTTCTGGATGTAGAAACAACCTAACTTAGTGATTATAGATAGTACCTGTGATAATAGTGAACTTTCTTCCATATCAAAGTTACACACCTTTGCCTCCAGTTCTTCCCACACCTTTAGAGCATCTCTGCAAACCTACAGCCCTCCTCCTAGCTGACTGTAGTCACATGACTTTTACCTTTCTGACCACTGGTACCAGCAGTGTTCATCTGACCCCAAATCAGCCAGTCATTTTCCTGCTCCTGGAAAATTGTACTTGGGTTTTATATTCAAGTCTGACCTCAGGAATTTATGGAGCAAAGTACACAGATAGATGTGTCAAATCAGAGAAAGCACATCTGCAGAAAGATTAAGAAATTGATGTCAGGCGCGATGGCTCAAGCCTGTAATCCCAGCTCTCTGGGAGACCAAGGCAGGTGGATCACTTGAGGTCAGGAGGAGTTCGAGACCAGCCTGGCCAACATGGTGAAACCCCATCTCTACTAAAAATACAAAAATTAGCTGGGCGTGGTGGCACATGCCGGTAATCCCAGCTACTCAGGATGCCGAGGCAGGAGAATCGCTTGAACCCGGGAGGCAGAGGTTGCAGTGAGCTGAGATCATGCCACTACACTCCAGCCTGGACGACAGAGCAAGACTCTGTCTCAAAAAAAAAAAAAGAAAGAAAGAAAGAAATTGAGATACTAAGGAGAGAGTCAAAGATAAATGGACCATTTGAATTCTGACTCCTTTCCAGATTGCCTTTCCAGTTTCTCAGAAGCCTAGCAGTACTTACTCCTTCTGCTCTTGGGTTCTTTTGACTTAAAAAAAAAAAAAAAAAAAAAAAGAAAAGAAATTGAACTCTTAAGGATTAATGCTCTTGAGTTATGAGATATCCCTACATTCCAATAAATCTCCCTTCCATTTTTATTGATTAAACTGGTTTGAGTAGTTTCTGTTCCTTTCCTCCAAAACAACCCACTGAGAACTTGGAAATAAGGCAAACTAGATTTCCCTCTAATAGCTAAATTGGCAATCTATGAGAATATTTATAAATAACGTTAATTGAAAAATTTTGGAGTGTGGTGGCTCACACTTGTAATCCTACTGCATTGAGAGTCTGAGGTGAGAGGACCATTTGAGGCCAGGAGTTAGAGACTAGTCTGGGCAACATAGTGAGACCCCCAACTCTACAAAAAAATTGCTTTTTTTTTTTTTTTTTTTGAAACGGAGTCTCGCTCTGTCACCAGGCTGAAGTACAGTGGTGTGATCTGGGCTCACTGCAACCTCTACCTCCCAGGTTCAAGCGATACCCTTGCCTCAACCTCCCAAGTAGCTGGGACTACAGGCGCCCGCCACCACGCCTGGCTCATTTTTTGTATTTTTAGTAGAGATGGGGTTTCACCATGTTGGTCAGGCTGGTCTCAAATTCCAGAGCTCGTGATCTGCCCGCCTTGGCCTCCCAAAGTGCTGGAATTACAGGCGTGAGCCACCACACCTGGCCAAAAAAAAAATTTTTTTTTGATTAGCCAGGTGTGGTGATGCATGCTTGTAGTCCTAGCTATCTGGGAAGCTGAGGAAAGAGGATTGCTTGAGCCCAGGAGTTCAAGGCTACAGTGAGCTATGATTGCACCTTGCACCACTGCACTCCAGTCTGGGTGAAAGAGTGACACTTTGTCTCAAAAAAAAAAAATATATATATATATATATATAATATATACACACATACACATACACATACATATATATGTATGTATAAATAAGGTGATATGTATCAAGTGATCTAATCTGCTCCTTACTAATTCGACTCCCCTAGTATGCTTACAAAATGAGAGTCCTCGAGTAGCAGACATGCATTGAAATAAATGATCATCTTTCTACAAGTATATTTCCCCAAGGTTCAACCAAATATAGTTTGCTATGATTTCTTAAAATTCAATCAATTTCACATCCATTAAACTTATAAGTACTGTAATCCAGTTTTCCCAGGAAAACTAAGCCCAGCTGAACCTTGGGAAAAATACCCGTGTTAAACATATATACATGATAGATTTTAAATGTTTTCACCACAAAAAATGGTAAGTACGTGAGGTGATAGAGTTGTTAACTAGCTTGATTTAATAATTTCACAATGTAAACAATTAAAATTACATTGTATCGCATAAATACATATAATTATTGTCAATTAAAAATAAAATATAGGCCGAGCACGGCGGCTCACACCTGTAATCCCAGCACTTTGGGAGGCTGAGGCGGGCGGATCACAAGGTCAGCAGATCGAGACCATCCTGGCTAACACGGAGAAACCCCGTCGCTACTAAAAGTACAAAAAAAATTAGCCGGGCATGATGGCATGTGCCTGTAGTCCCAGCAACTCGGGAGGCGGAGGCAGGAGAATGGCGTGAACCCGGGAGGCGGAGCTTGCAGTGGGCCGAGATCACGTCACTGCACTCCAGCCTGGGCAACAGAGTGAGACTACGTCTCAAATAAATAAATAAATAAAATAAAATATATATGTTTTTAGGAAGGTAATAGCTACTATTTATTGAGTACTTACTTTATGCTGACATTTTATATGTATGAGCTCATTTAATGCTCACAACTTATGAGGAAGTACTACTCTAGTTTTACAGATGAGGAAAATAAAGCTCAAAAAGGTTAATGGTGGCTGTCCATTGCTACAGAGTATGCCAGAAACTTGTGACAGGATTAGCTGTCTCTGTGAAGCTGCCTTGCTTCGTAACAATCCCAACTCTGCAAAGGCCTTAAAAGGCCAAAAGGAAAGGCAGAGAGAGTTATTGACTCAGCACCTTCCTCAAAGTAGAGACATTGCTGGGGCAGTGGGAATCCAATCCTAGCAGAAGATGGTGGAAATCTTCACCCCTGCCTCAGCAAGGGCTGGCCTTGGGCACATTCCCAATCCAAACAGCCAATTATTATCCAAATACAGGAGAAATATAGAGGAGCAGCTGAAAAACTTGAAAAGACTCAATAAACAAACCACATGAGCCA